ATGGAGTCTTAGTGTCTTATCAACCAGCTTGCCTGTCACCCAAGTGCAATAGGTATGAGTGAGGCATGATCAAAATGTTTAGACCATCTGTATTGGGTTGAGCTGTGAACAGGGATGGTTCTGCATTAATTGATTTCTCCGTTTAGAGGTGAATTTCTTGATGTAAAACTACCATATGAGTGTAAACCTATTTTTGTGTATGGTAGGTTTATATATATTCTAGTATCTTAGATAAGTAGTTATTTTTTTTTTATTTGAGATTCATATCATAAGACCTAGTTCTTTTCATTAGTTTTCATGCACTGGTTAATGAGTTTGGAGGATAAATCATTCTTTTTTATTTTCATCATATATATTTATATATGAATTTTAGAGATATGTAATACAGTATTTTAAATATATATTGTATACTGAAGATTGTTCATAAATAAAGCTATTATATTTAAAGTAAAATGTTTCTTTGATATTGTTTTATCAGATGATAATAAAGACTATCCTAAATATTGAATTTCATTTACTAAAATTTCTCTAACATATATCTTGCATATTCCTTTTCCATGCTAGCAGGTACACGTTGTAAGTATTTGTCATGTGCATTGGTTTAATTAGAACCAAAATTTCAGGATGTAAATAGTCTGGGTACATTCATCAAACTTTAAACTATGGTCATTTTAAAATTATTAACAAATACTCAAAATGGCTAGTGACAAATGAAGATTGTATTTTTTTTATGTATGGTCCCATAATCATATATATTTGTGGATATTTAGGGAAATAATTTTGAGACATCATTTTGATGTATGATGTTGAAAATTGAGTTCTTTTGCTTGTTATTTTTTTTTTTTTTTTTTCAAGTTAAAAAGAATTTCCAATAATGCTTTTTCATTCACCTCAACAGTTCTGAGGGTGAAGGTGATTGTATGGGTCGAGGACGAAGCACATCAGCACCGGAGCATCGCCAGCCCAGAGCAGCCAGCCAGCCACCGGCACTTCTTAACCGACATCCAACTCAATCATGATCATCACTTGACATGAAACCAACTTGCTATGACACAATGCCAGCTACAACTATCACCTTTCACTGATCCAAACTCATACCATAATCAACATGGACTTCCTAGGTTCAGTGAATCTGTTACCTATTTTTATATATATATATATCATAACCTTACTGACTTTAAGCTTGTTGCTTTCAAACCACCTAAAGTAATGCTTTACCAGATGTACGACTTCCTTTAAGACTGTGCTCTAACTGTCAGAGGCACTTCGAAAAGTTGTATAATGTACTCAAGAGGTGCAGTTTGTAAACTGCTGATTTAGTTGTGAAATATTACATGAGAAAAATATACAAGATAAAAAGTTGAATGAAAAATATAGATTCTCCTATGATTAAACATATTCATGCTTTTGGGGAACTTTTAGTGCCACAAAGTAAAACATAAAACATGGAATGAGCTTGGGTTACATATGAATTGTGTATCACTTAATCCTAATTGTCATAAGAGCAGCCTTCCGGTCTCCTAACTTTGTGATACTCATCATATCTCCTCTGTGTTCATTCATGCTGAAAATTGAAAGCAGTCATTGTTTACACTTATTGGCTAAGGAAAAGTTAATAGTTGAGTGGTAGATCTATTGTGGGGATTCTTACTGTAACATTCTTATGGAATATACAAAAATCTGTTATAGATGCTTAAACCTTATTGCAATGTATATTGGTTCTGCAAGCAACTGTTGAATATAAGTGTATTATACTGGTTCTGAACCTACATAGCAACATTACTGATAGGTAGCAGACATTTAGCTGCTAACAATGTGTTGTAAGCTTCTGAAGTAGAAGTTGTAGACAATAAACTATACTAAGTAGAATATGCCATATTATAACTGGTGTAAGCAGTTTTCATAATTTTTGAGCAGCTTTACAGAGAATGGAAGCACAACTTACAATAGTAATTCTCCAGAATAATAAAGCTGTTCCTTTACTGGATAGTCAAAGAACTTGGAGTCTATCCATCAAAGCATGACCAAGAAATAAACTTATAATCATATGAACTGCTTGTGATCAACACTTCTTGCTGCACTGCAATGAAAGCTCGCCATTGATTCAGTGTAATTTATTGTCATACGTCAAGTCACCCTCAAGCATAAAATATTCCAAGGCTGCTCTTGCTTGTCCAATAATGACATGTGATAAAATCAGGGTTTGCTGACATGCGAAGAAGCTACAGCGTAAAATTAAAGGTCATGTATTACCAATGCTTTTAACTTATTGACACAGTTTTATTATTTTTTATATATAGAACTTTATGCATTCATAGGATCACTGTATATAAACATGGACATGTACTTTACAAAAGGAAGAATTAGAGATTATTTGGTACATGTTGAAAAGTAGTTCCTCTCGTGTCTTAGTGTCAAACCCTGAGGTTATCATAACTATATAACATTTTTATGAGTGTCTTTGCTAAAATTTAAGCTTAAAAGGACCAGTATGGGAGCTACAGTATGTAGATATGATTTTTTTGAGGACATGACTGGTTAAAAAGTCTGTAAATAGGAAATATATTTATTGAAGTATTTATACCTCATGATCCAAATTCACATTCATCATTTGCTTGCAGGTGAGTTCAAGATAAGTAATATTTGATATGATTAGTGTAGAAAAAAAATACAAGGTTAAAATTAATACTATATTATTGCATTTTGTTGCATACTTCAAGGATTTCATTATCATTTCTTTTTAAAGATCTCTAAAGTCTGTTGCTCATCTGTCCTGCAAGCATTTGATGGTGAAACCAATGCCAAAGAACATGAACTATACTTCTGATTATGTTTTGTTATCATTTTCTTTAGGAACTGTGATGTTTAGTTTATGTGATAGTATTATAGATTCTATCCAAAAAAAATGTGAACATTCCATTGTCTTTATCTAAAATGGTTGTCCATATTTTTCAGTTTTGTTAAAGGTTTTCAAATAGGCGTACACTTAATGTTGGCTGTAACTTGAAAGTTGAAGTGTACTTTGTCATGAAACAATAACAGAGATCAATATTTTATTTAGCAATGTTTTAAATTTTTGTTAGGAATCCAGCTATTGTTGGAATTATTAGGGAAGATGATGGCACATGTATGCAGTGTTGTGAAAACAAGTGCGTGTGAGCACTGCCACTTGTGCTTAGCTTCAAATTTATCCAGTGGTTGTAAATGCGCTGACATGCCAACTTATCATAAATATATACAAACAAAAATAGTTTTGGCTTTTAATATCCACTTAACATTGGCTCATTTCTATCAAAAAGAACCAACTTCTATAAATGTTGGTATAAACAGATATTAAGAAATATTTTCAATACAATTTTTTTTTCTGGTTTCCTTCATCCCTCCACATTTCAAATATACTGTGTAAATGGATGTTAATGTAATTTTAACCTTTCACTTCATATACATTATTCTAGAATCAGTCACAGAACAGGTGACATGAAATTGCGTGTATGCCTGATGACTTAATACTTTGGAATTTTGTCTTCATTGTGTTATGTATCAGTCTATTTCAGTTATAATTTTATACATTTAAAGTTGTGAATATGAAATCAGACTTCACTTGATTTCCCTAAGGATATCATGTCCACAAATATCTCCAGGAGCAATTTTTTTTGTGTTTTTCTTGCACTATTTAGCCTATGTATACACAAAAATATATTAAAAAAAATAAAAAAAACTTTTTTTTGGTCAAAAGTTTTAACTTTGCAAATTAGAGTAGCAGCAGGAACATACAAGTCCATGGCTAAATTGTGAAAAGGCAACTACAGTTAAAACAAAAAATATATATAAATTTAAAGTGCATTCAGATTATCTGACCAAATGAACACTTGATACTGATTTTTTAAAATTACTAATACTGCAAGTGTGAAAATGTATTTGATAGAAAATATTTAGAACAACCTAACTTTCTTTTTAATAAATTCATGAGCTGATTGTGTAATATATATTTTCCTTCTTTTCTTTAGGTCCAATTAAATAACATTAACATAATCAATCATACTTTATTACAGGTACACACTTTAAATCTCCATCCCACTTCACTAGCAAATTTCTAAGCATATTGCATATAATTATTCTGTATTCCACTTGGAAGACTTGACAAGAGCAGGCACATATTAAGCACTATATAAAAAAAAGCTTTACAAAGTATAACAGTAATACTAGCAGTTTGGTCCTTACACACCAAATTCAATCATACTTTTGATAATTTACAGGTTTCTGTACAAATTATTAACTCATTAAACTAGCTGAACGACTAGATTCACAATATGGCACAACTGGATAGTTTGGCTCTGGCTAAACTTGTACATTGATTAAAGAAATGTGGCTGCCTCGGTGAGTTTACTGAATATATTTCAATATTATTAATATTTTTTCCTTGAAGGTCACAATTGATACCGATACCTTCTGTTCTTGATGTTATTGCTGCATCACTGGTAACTATGACGCAAACTTGTTCCACTGCACGACCACCCAGCACCAGAATCCGAGTCTGAATCCTGACGGTAACGAGACCTTCTTCTGTAAGCTTCAGTTTCACTGGCTACTGACAAAGCTGATCCACCAACGCGTCGTCTCCAAGCACCAGATGTTGCACCAACCCCGGGGAGAGAAGATAGTGAGGCAGCATGTCCTCTTTGATAGGGTCCATCAAAATTGTTATTGAGATTCCCAAATCGGTATCTATTACGGCCAGGAGGACTGTCCCCCAAGGAACTTGATGAGCTTGCTATTCCTGAAGCACCTACCAGATGTCTTCGGAGATAAAGTAACTGTTCTTTGCACTTCTGTGTTGACGTACGTATTTTAGAAGTCATGTAGTGTGGAGTGTATGCTGAATCTGCAGCTGCAGCTGAATGGCAAGAGGACCAGTGACTGTGTGTTGAGCAGGTGTGTGCAGATGGCCGACAGTGGTTATGTTGAGGCTGGTGAATAGGGGATACACAGCAACATGGTGAAAGTTCTCGACTGTGCCCAGGGCTGTGTGGTCCAGCGGTAGGCAAAGATGTTGTTGATAAATATGGGGTTGTATTTGGACTTTCTAATCTTTCGCAAAAAGGTGTCTTAGCGAAGTCTAGTGAAGAATGATATGCAACTTTAGCTGCGTGTCTGTGATGATGACTGTGCCCATTATCAAGAATCTGCGCTCGCAAATGCCGTTTCCGTGCACTGAGTTTAAGCCTTTCTTCCAATTGCCGACATGATTCTTCCAGACGGCGTTGATGCAGAGAGATGTATTTCTGACTGGTGGCACTCAAACGATGCCTGTGACTTCCTACAATTCCGTCACTTTCTAAGTCTCGGTCTAAAGTCGTGTGAGGTAAATTTTGAAGGCTTGCCCTTAAACTGGACACTGGAGAATCAAATTCTGATGATGAACTTTTGTTGCTAAATCTGCTTCCACTTCGAGAATAATGTAGTGATGAACTGTCATAGTGACCGAGAATGCGATTGATGCGCTCTCTCTCATGTCGGAGGTTGTTAATTTCTTGGGAGAAAGTTTTTCCTCTTATTCCTGAACCAAGTGACGATGTATGACTACTAGACAAATCAAAACGTCTGGCACTTCTACGATAGTTTTGAGGTGGTTTCCTTCCTCCACCATCTATATTCTCGACATCACTTGAGGATTCAAAACTAGTCTGAGCCACAATTGACCTCATTTTCACATTGCTTGGCTGGTGTTGGTCAGTTTGCACCGCAACAGAATTAACCTTCTTACTTTCAGGCAGTCCTGCTGGACTGGTAGTGCCATTAGCTTCTTCAGCTACTGGAGCAAGAGCAACTCTCTGATTGGGATTTGCAATCTGGTGGTGTAATACCAAAGACGTTTCAGATAAAGTTTTTAGTATGGTTCCTGCTTCCTTCATAACCTGTGAAAGCGCTACCCAGGTGTGAGAAAGGCCCTCTGCACTGGGCAGTGCAATGTCTCCCTCACTTCTACATCGTGGTAATTGTTGATTTCTGTGAGAGGACATGATTGAAGGTGCAGTTTCTGTTGCCGGTGTCGTTGGTGCTGACATGATGTTAATAGGGCTTGTTGAAATCACGGACGCAGTGTCATCTGAAGGTGAACTGCAATATGAAGAGCCAAAATGTCTCTTTGATATCATTCTAGTTACAGGTGAATTTGTCAGACTATTTGGATCTTGTGCTTCTAGATTGCTGTCCAGAGATTGTAAGATACCTCTTGAGAGAGGTCCCTCAGATGTTGAAACTGCAGTTGATACAGAAGAAATTTGTTGTGATGACACAACGCAGGATGAGGGAAACCCAGCTGATGACATGCCGAATGGTGTCGGGCCTGAAGGGGAGAATCCTGACGCCAAAGAAATGTTTGATGATGTAAACAGATCTGAATACTGGGAAAATCCTGAAACAGAGTTATCATCTGTAGATAACGATTTCCCAAATGACAGAGACACACCAGATGATTGTGAATCGTTCAGAGATGGAGAATTGCTAGATTTTTTTGAAAGGCCTAATGAAGGTGGTCGACTTGTTTGCCTGAACTGTTGACGGACTTTTGAATAATCTGGATCTTCTGTAGAAGTGGACTGCAATTCTCTTGAATTTGCTTCTGGCTCTTCGGTGCTCTTTATACCCTCTGTTCCAGTTTTGTTCACACGATCCCGTATGTGTTCTGGTAACTGGAGCGAAAACATCTCTTTCAACTTGGACCTTGGCAGTGGAATGTCATCACTATCACTTGAAGAATTCACTGCAGCTCTCCTGATTGTCCTCAGAGCGGGAGTGGTTTCAGGTGGATGTTCGTCTGCAGGAGACTGAGGTGATATGGGTGAAGGTGGCGTCTGAGGAGGGGGAGTTGAGGCTATAGGAGCTAAACTAGGCTTTTTCATTATGGACTTTGGCGGCAAAACTAGCTTTGCAGATTCCTGTGAACGAATCTCTGGAATTTCATCAATTTCTAGTGCTCCACAACCTTGCAGGTCTGTCCATGATACTGATTTTTTGTTCAGTTTTTCTGGAGTTTGGCGACAATGAAGCTGTGGTGAGGACTTGCTCGATTCACCCGACATGACCCGGATTGTTGTAGAAATTACTGGACGCCCCAGGATCATGCCTTTGAAGTCACACCAATTAACCTGGCCGAATGTTGGGATTGGTGACGGCGATTTGGCAAACACATCATCATCACCAGAACTGCTTGTATTAATAGTCTGATCATCCGCATCTATGACCACAGCTCTTCTGCGAGATGCTTCGGGGACGTCTCTTGAATCAGTTTGTTCGCTATGGGTCTTAACTGTTAAATGACATCGGTTCTGTCTCACAGTACTTGCATCCTCAGTTATGTCATCTTCATCCGATTCAGCAGAAGAGAAACGCCTTCCTCTGGCTAGTATATCTTCCAGTTCTTGTGTCACCACTTCCTCAAGGCTGCTGGTTCGTTGCATTTCCGTTTTTTGCTTAGCCACCTGAATTTTACATAAATTCCAATACACAGAATCCAAAGATGTGGAGCGAACAAGCCGGCCGCATTTTGCCTTGTACAAATCAAAGAAATGGGTTTGTTTTAATTCAGTTGACGTATCAAAACTCAAGCCTACATGCGATAAGTCTGAGGAACTGCGGTAGTTCGAACCATTGGACTGGGTAACATCTGCTTGTAATAAATTGTCCTCGGATGGTCTCTCGTCGTCTGGGTTCATGAAGATGAAAGTGATACTCTCGTCTGAAGCTCCCCATTCATCACTCTGGTCCATGAGGAATTGTCCGCGCCAAGCTTCGGAAGTAAGTTTCAGTTTTGGGTTGTCTACGTTCTTATCAACCACATATGTCTGTTTATCTTCATGGGTGGCTGTTAATGATTTAGAAGAGTAATTTGACACAGTTACTTCAATTCCATGTGAATGATCTTGTGTAGTACTGTCCTTGATATTACCTTTATCTTTCTCAGTGCTCTTTAATTCTGTTATCTTAGATTCTAAAACATTCATATTCAATGTCTTTTCATAATTCTTTGTTTGATGTTGCCCCTGTTGATTCGAAACAACTGCAGAACTTCCTGTACCAAAACTGTTTAATAAAGCAGTAGTTTTGGACTCGATTTCCTTGTCATCTGATACTCTTGCTTGGAAAGATGCTTGTGTATCGTCATGTCTCTCAGACTTGCTGTCGAACTTTCTTTGGATATTGTGACTGATGGCAGCTGGTAATGCTCTCGCACTATCCTCCTTCTTCAACGTGGAATGGTCCTCCACTTGAACTTGCTCTCTTTCTGGCTCATAAGTTGGGTAGGTCATCTGATTGAAGACCTGACCTGCCAGTTTACGTGAGTAGAGGGATCGTTTAAGTTTTGCCAAGCTATAATTTGCTGTGTACTCAGGCTTTTGTTGCTCAGCTTTATATATCACCTTAGCATGACTTCCAAGCGTCTTGTCCTCAGTCTGTTCACAGGCTTCTTGTGGCTGCATTATGGTATTAGAGAAGCCGGTCACGACAGTCTGTGGTGGGTGGGTGGCTTGCCGAATGAATTTACGTTGAACATCTGGACTTCTCTTCTGTAAGTGCTGATTCACCTCAGTTGGACTTGTTGATGTAGTAGTATGACCTGAATCAACCGGTGGATCGCTTTTCTTTTCGTTGGAAATATTTTTCTTAACTTCTTTTCTTTGAGAAACTTTTACAGCAGTGCTTGGTATAGACTTATTTTCTTCAAATGAAATTGTTTTGTCTTCCTTTGAAATTTTTGTCCCAGTATTAGGAGCAATAAATTTTCCCAAATGGGACAAACTTGCTGTTTCTATAAGTTTTGCATTCTCTGCCTTTGCTACACTGTAATTAGTTTCCGATGCTTCATGGAATACAACATTTTCAAGCTTCCCAAAGCACCCTTTTGCAACTTTTCCTTGCTCCTTCCCTCCACTTCCTTTGCCTTCATTCTTACTGCTATTGCTTGAGTCCTGCACTTTGGTCTTGACAGGAATAAGCTGACTTTCTGATAATGTTGATGTGTGCATTGCACTGTCTCTATCTTGCAGCTTTGCTGAATATTCCTCAGTAACTGAACTTGTACTTCTGCCAAAGCCTGCCAAAGCGCTCTGACCAATGACGTTTGTGCTGGCAATGGGCTGGCCCTCGTTGCCATGCGGTAAACTGATGTTACCTGGCAGAGCGCTCCTGAGGCCCTGGTCTACACTCCTGCTCCTGCTACTCTCTCGTCCCGCTACCTCACCCCTCTCTGCCTGCTTTGTCTTCTCCTTTTCTTTGTAAGTTTCCTCTGAGACTTCTTGCTCTAATGTTACACGTGGAACACTGCAAGATGAGACGACTACATTCGGATCTTGAGCACAACTAACAATATTGCCAACATGCCCCTTTTTATAGAGGTATTTGTCATTTTGGATGGATTCAGAACCTTTGGCTGAAGTGGCAGTCACACAAGGCAAGTTTCCGATGGTACTTATTCCGCTGGCTGTCAGTGACTTCTCTCTCTGCATATCTACATTTCTTATTTCACTTCTATTTTCAAGGTGTACTACCTGTGAGCTATTCACGTTATTGTCATCCATACATATAGGAGAGGTCATAGATGTTACGCTATCAGAGCTAGAAACTAAGGCTGAATCTGCTGAGAAAAATTCCTCTTCTGATGTTGCAATGATTTCCTCTCTTTTTGGCAAACTCAAGCCAGCAGAACTAAGCTTTTGTTCTGGTTTATTCTCTAATATTTCTGTATTTGATGTGTAAAATTCTTCTTCATCCTCAGTATTACTGGTCGGAATTGCCTCTAAGCTTTCGATATATGAAAATTTGCTGCCTGTTGCAAATAAACAGTCGCCTTGAGACACAGATCTTGTTTGAGGAGTCTGATGGCCTACCCTTCCATGCGGCGTTTGCAATGTGTCGTGAGAGATGTTTAATGGAGACACTTTCTGTTCTGTATCTTCCAATGTTGAAACTTTAGGAGCTGTAAAGGCAACCCTTCCTGACTGTGACTCTGGTACAAGAATGGATGCCTCCTTAGTGGACCTTTCAAAGTCTGTTGGAGTTGCTGTGGCATACGCACTGTCTTCAAGAGAAGAATGTTCTTTATCCATCAATACACAAGTTTGTGCATTTATGGGGGTTGAAGCAGCAAGAGGTGTGTGGTCTTCACCATCAATAAATGTAAGTGGCTTCAGTGATCCTCTGGGGTTCACAGTTACTGTGTTATAATGTTCATCAAATGATACGGCCTGTTCCATCTGAGGCTCCATTGTCTGATTAGGTTTTCCTGCACTATGTGTTACTCCTTGGATACTGCTAGGTCCATGTGGATTCTCCAATCCCAATGTGACCGATGACTGCGCCGTCACTGCATGTGCACTGTCAGGCACTTCCATGAACATGTTAGGCCTGTCTTGGGCGTTGCTCGTCACCTGAGAAATACCTATTGGTGATTGTTTCAGTGTTTGTACAGGCTTGGTTCCTTCCATTGCAAGGCGAGGGTTCTGATTAGTCACGACCCTTACACTATTACTTGGGTGTGGCAAGAATGAAGCCAATGAATATGATTCATCCATATCTACTTCAGAAGCTACTGCTTGAGTTACTGCAAAGTCAGTGCAAGTTTCTTCCTGGTCACAAACAACTCCTTCCTTCCGAGTCGGCAAACGAGTGACTGTTTGTACATTGCTTACTCTCTGTTCTGTCTGTGGAACTACTGTTTCCCATCCTTCTGAAGTCAATGTGGTGCCATCATTCATAGCCACCTCAGATGGTTGATGAGACGCTGTCGAAGCACTGGTAGCTCCTATGATATACGGTGTTACTTGTTTTAAAGCTTGAACATTACTGGCCATCTCCAGTGAGGGTAAAGTTAGTGACTGTGACTTTTCCAAATCTAACTGTGCAGTCCTTGTTTCCTTCATCACTGACACAGCACTACTGCCTGCTTCCGTAGTCACATGTGGTGTCTGATGAGACACTGCGTCGGCACCGCTCAAATCACCCCTATCCTTGCGTGTTGTCTGCTGAAGCAAAGATAAGACACTGCAGGTCTTTGGGGTCAATGGTGAAGTCCCTGCAGGTGCTTCTTCCAAGTCTACCTCCGAAGACGTTGCATGCAGGACCCCTGGCTGGGCACTGGCTTCCCTCAGGCTCCCAGGTGCTGTCTGAAGAGCTGCGGACTGAGCATGCCTTGTTCTTTCCATGGGTGATGTCTGTTGAACACCTGCTTGCATGCCACTGGTCTCTTGTGACGTAAGTGGAAATGCTGAATGCGATTCTTCTAAACCCAGGTCTGAAGTCACTGCCTGCTGGATTACTGCCTGAGCTCTACTATTCTTAGCCGTCATCTGAGGCGTTTCCCGAGTCTCCACCCGAACACCGCTATCGGTTTCCACGGTCATCTGCCTTTGCTCTGCCACTGCCTGGACACTGTTCTTTCCTTCCGTGGCCACATGCAGTGTCTGATGTATCACTGCTTGCATACTATTAATCTCCTGTGGTAAAAGTGGAGTCGCTGAATGGGTTTCTTCCAAATCGAGCTCTGATGTTAATGCTTGTTGAAGAGTCAAAGCCTGGGCACTGCTAGCCTGAGGTGTCTGGAGAGTCACTACATGGGCACTGCTAGCATCTCCCATGGCCATCTGAGGTGTTTGGAGAGTCAAAGCCTGGGCACTGCTAGCCTGAGGTGTCTGGAGATTCACTGCCTGGGCACTGCTAGCATCTCCCATGGCCATCTGAGGTGTTTGGAGAGTCAAAGCCTGGGCACTGCTAGCCTGAGGTGTCTGGAGATTCACTGCCTGGGCACTGCTAGCATCTCCCATGGCCATCTGAGGTGTTTGGAGAGTCAAAGCCTGGGCACTGCTAGCCTGAGGTGTCTGAGGTGTCTGGAGATTCACTGCCTGGGCACTGCTAGCATCTCCCATGGCCATCTGAGGTGTTTGGAGAGTCAAAGCCTGGGCACTGCTAGCCTGAGGTGTCTGGAGAGTCACTGCCTGGGCACTGCTAGCATCTCCCATGGCCATCTGAGGTGTCTGGAGAGTCAAAGCCTGGGCACTGCTAGCCTGAGGTGTCTGGAGAGTCACTGCCTGGGCACTGCTAGCATCTCCCATGGCCATCTGAGGTGTCTGGAGAGTCAAAGCCTGGGCACTGTTAGCCTGAGGTGTCTGGAGAGTCACTGCCTGGGCACTGCTAGCCTGAGGTGTCTGGAGAGTCACTGCCTGGGCACTGCCTGGGCACTGCTAGCATCTCCCATGGCCATCTGAGGTGTTTGGAGAGTCACTGCCTGGGCACTGCTAGCCTGAGGTGTCTGGAGAGTCACTGCCTGGGCACTGCTAGCATCTCCCATGGCCATCTGAGGTGTCTGGAGAGTCACTGCCTGGGCACTGCTAGCCTGAGGTGTCTGGAGAGTCACTGCCTGGACACTGCTAGCCTGAGGCGTCTGGAGAGTCACTGCCTGGGCACTGCTAGCCTGAGATGTCTGGAGAGTCACTGCCTGGACACTGCTAGCCTGAGGCGTCTGGAGAGTCACTGCCTGGGCACTGCTAGCCTGAGGCGTCTGGAGAGTCACTGCCTGGACACTGCTAGCCTGAGGCGTCTGGAGAGTCACTGTCTGGGCACTGCTAGCCTGAGGTGTCTGGAGAGTCACTGCCTGGACACTGCTAGCCTGAGGCGTCTGGAGAGTCACTGCCTGGGCACTGCTAGCCTCAGGTGTCTGGAGAGTCACTGCCTGGGCACTGCTAGCCTCAGGTGTCTGGAGAGTCACTGCCTGGGCACTGCTAGCCTGAGGTGTCTGGAGAGTCACTGCCTGGACACTGCTAGCCTGAGGTGTCTGGAGAGTCACTGCCTGGGCAGTGCTAGCCTGAGGTGTCTGGAGAGTCACTGCCTGGGCACTGCTAGCCTCAGGTGTCTGGAGAGTCACTGCCTGGGCACTGCTAGCCTGAGGTGTCTGGAGAGTCACTGCCTGGGCACTGCTAGCCTCTCCCACGGCCATCTGAGGTGTCTGGAGAGTCACTGCTTGGGCAATGCCAGCCTCCCCAGTGGCCATCTGCGGTCTCTGAAGATTCACTGCCTGGGCACTGCTAGCCTCTCTCACAGCCTTCTGAGGTGTTTGGAGAGTCACTGCTTGGGCACTAGTAGCTTCTCCCATGGCCATCTGAGGTGTCTGAAGAGCCACTGCCTGGGCACTAGAAGGTTCATTTGTCTGAATCTTCACTGCTTGGGCACTGTTCTTCCATTCTCGTGCCTCCTGTGGCGTCCCATGACTCACGACCTGTGGTAACAGCTGAATCACTGAATGGGTTTCTTCCAGATCGAGTTGTGGTTTCACTGCTTTGCGGGTGATGGCCTGAGCACTGCTAGCCTCTCCCATTACCATCTGTGGTGTCTGAACAATCACTGCCTGTGCACTGCCAGTTCCTTCCATGGCTATCTGTTGTGTTTGTGCAATCACTGCCTGAGCACTGCTAGTTTCTGCCACGGCCATCTGGGGTGTTTCAACAGTCACTGTCCGAACACTGCCTATTTCCTGCGGTGAAACTGAAACGACTGAGTTCGGTTCTTCCCAACGCAGCTCCGAGGACACGGGTCGACAGATGGCTGCCTGGGCACTGCTAGCTTCTACAGTCATCTGTGGTGTTTGAACAGTCACTGCCTGGGCACTGCAGACTTCTCTAAAAGCCATCTGAGGTGTCTCAGGACTCACCGCCTGAGCACTGCCAGCTTCTGCAGTCATCTGTGATGTTTGAACAATCACTGCCTGTACACTGGTAGTTTCATCCATGGCTACCTGTGGTGTCTGAAGAGTCACTGCCCGGACACTGCTCATATGGGGTGTTTGAGCAGTCACTGTGTGGCCAATGCTAGTCTTTCCCATGGCCATCTGTGGCGTATGAAGTGTCACTGCCTGGTCACTAAGAGTTCCTTCATGAGATGTCTGATGAATCACTGCTCTCAAATTGCTGCTGTCCTTTGGTAATAGTGAAATCACTGAATGCGATTCTTCTAAATCTAACTCTGAACTCACTGCATGTTGGACCATTGCCTCAGCACTAATGGGAACTGCCACAGTCATCTGAGGTGTCTGATTAATCACTGCTTTTTCACTGCTAGTTGCAATCATGGGCATCTGAGGTGGCTGATTAATCACTGCTTGTTCACTGCTGGCTGCAATCATGGGCATCTGAGGTGTCTGAATAGTCACTGCTTGGACACTGCTAGATTCATGTCTGGCTTCTTCAAGTCTCTGAACAGTTGTCGCCCGAGTATTGATAACTGATTCTGTGGCCAATTGATATGCCTCAAGAGTCACTGTTTGGTCACTGCAAGCTTCTCCGATGACCATTTGTGGTGTCTGAACAGTCACTGCTTGGGCACTACTCATTCTTTCCTTGGCTAGTGCATGAGTTTCATCCAAACAAAGCTGCGAAGGCACTGCTTGCTGGATCACTGCTTGGGCATTGCTTGTTCTTTCTGTCATCTGTGGTGTCACTGCCATCGCAATGTTGGTGTCTTGAGTTTCTTCCAAACTTTGCTGTGAAGACACTGCGTGTCGGATGACTGCCTTAGGTGTCTGAAGATTCACTGCCTGGGCACTGCTAGCCTCTCCCATGCCCATCTCAGGTGTTTGCAGAGTCACTGCTTGGACGCTGCTAGCTTCTCCCATGGCCATCTGAGGTGTCTGAAGAGTCACTGCCTGGGCACTGCTAGCCTCTCCCATGGCCATCTGAGGTGTCTGAAGAGTCACTGCCTGGGCACTGCTAGCCTCTCCCATGCCCATCTGAGGTGTATGGAGAGTCACTGCCTGGGCACTGCTAGCCTCTCCCATGGCCATCTGAGGTGTCTGAAGAGTCACTGCCTGGGCACTGCTAGCCTCTCCCATGCCCATCTGAGGTGTATGGAGTGTCACTGCCTGGGCACTGCCAGCCTCTCCCAAGGCCATCTGAGGTGTCTGAAGAGTCACTGCCTGGGCACTGCTAGCCTCTCTCACGGGTACCTGCGATGTTTGAACAGTCACTGGCTGGGCACTGCTAGCCGCTCCCACCGACATCTGAGGTGTGTGAACATTCACTGCCTGGGTACTGCTAGATGCATCCACGTCAAACTGAGGGGTTTCATTTATCACTCCTGCAATGTCCATCTGTGATGTCAATTCCTGAGCACTAAAAGCCTTTCCCATGGCCAATTGGTGGGTTTGAACGGTCACTGCTTGGGCACTGCTAGTATCTGCCACGGTCATATGTGGGGTTTGAACAATCACTGTTTGAGCACTGCCTATTCCTTCTGTAGCCTCCTGCGATATCTGACGAATCTCTGCTCTAAAGTTGCCGGTGCCCTGTGGCAACTGTGGAATCACTGAATGTGTTTCCTCCAATAGCTGTGAAGCCACTGCCGATTGGATGATGGCCTGAGCACTGCTTGCCTCTTTCGAAGCCATCTGGGACACTATCTGAGCACTACTACCCTCTTTTAAGGCCATCTGTGACACTGCCTGGACAGTGCTAGCCCTTTCCACACCCACCTGTGTCATGTGACCAGTCACCTGGGCACTGCTAGTTCCCTCCATGGCCATCTGTGGTGTTTGTGCAATCACTGTCTGAGCACTGCTAGTCTTTCCCATGGTCATCTGCGGTGATTGATGAGTTACTGTCTGGGCACTGCTAGTTTCATCCATGGCTATTTGTGTAATATGAGCAGTCTCTGCCTGGGCACTGCTGGTTCCGTCTGAAGCTATCTGAGGTATTTGAACAGTCACTGCTTGGACACTGGTAGCTCTTCCTGTGGCCATCTGTGGTATTTGAAGAGCCACTACTTGGGCATTGCCATCTTCTTCCAGGGCCATCTGTTTAGCCTGAGCTGTCGCCGCCTGGATACTGCTAGTTCTTTCTTCGGTCATCTGTGGCGTCTGATGAATCACTGCTCTCACGCTGCCGGTGTCCTGTGGCACTAGTGGAATCACTGAATGTGTTTCCTCCAATAGCTGTGAAGCCACTGCCGATTGGATGATGGCCTGAGCACTGCTTGCCTCTTTCGAAGCCATCTGGGACACTATCTGAGCACTACTACCCTCTTTTAAGGCCATCTGTGACACTGCCTGGACAGTGCTAGCCCTTTCCACACCCACCTGTGTCATGTGACCAGTCACCTGGGCACTGCTAGATTCTCCCATGGCCATCTGAAGTGTTTGAGGAATCATTATCTGATCACTGCTAGTCATGACCATCTGAGGTGTTTGAAGAGTCACTGATTGGACACTGGTAGCCCTTCCTGTGGCCATCTGTGGTATTTGAAGAGCCACTACTTGGGCATTGCCATCTTCTTCCAGGGCCATCTGTTTAGCCTGAGCTGTCGCTGCCTGGATACTGTTAGTTCTTTCTTCGGTCATCTGTGGCGTCTGATGAATCACTGCTCTCACGCTGCCGGTGTCCTGTGGCACTAGTGGAATCACTGAATGTGTTTCCTCCAATAGCTGTGAAGCCACTGCCGGTTGGATGATGGCCTGAGCACTGCTTGCCTCTTTCGAAGCCATCTGGGACACTATCTGAGCACTACTACCCTCTTTTAAGGCCATCTGTGACACTGCCTGGACAGTGCTAGCCCTTTCCACACCCACCTGTGTCATGTGACCAGTCACCTGGGCACTGCTAGTTCCCTCCATGGCCATCTGTGGTGTTTGTGCAATCACTGTCTGAGCACTGCTAGTCTTTCCCATGGTCATCTGCGGTGATTGATGAGTTACTGTCTGGGCACTGCTAGTTCCCTCCATGGCCATCTGTGGTGTTTGTGCAATTACTCTCTGAGCACTGCCATTTTCTTCCAAAACTGAATGAGGTTCGTGATATTTTGGTTCCTGGACCCTCTGTGCTTCCTTTGTCGCCATGTCCACAGTCTGGACGTTAATCCCTTTCTCCACGGATGCCAGCGGTATTACTGCCTCACCAAAGTTAGTTTCTACAGTCACTTGAGATGTTTGAAGAGTCATGGCCACAGCTCTGCTAACTTGTGGTGACTGGTGTATCACTGCCTGGTCACTGCTAGCTTCCACTTGTGTACACAATGACTGGCCATTACCACTTTCCATAGCCATCTGAGGTGCCTGGTGAATCACAGTCTGGTCAGTGCTAGTTTCCATGGCTACCTGTGGTGATTGCAGAATTCCTTGCTCACTCATATTTGATGTCTGATGAGTCATACTGGTGGCTTTCTGAGGCAACAGAGGCATCACTGCATATGATTCCTCCAAATCTAGACTGGAAGTTTCTACTTGATAGATTGGTGTCTGGACAACTACACCTTCCAAAGCCATCTGAGACATTTGCTGAATCGATGCCTGGGCACAATCTGCTCCGTTCACACTTCTAGCTTTCCCCAAAACTGTCACAGGTGTTTTATGAGGCAGAGCCTGGTCACTGCTTACTTCTGTTGTTTGATATGTCATTGCCCAATCACTGCCTGACCCTTCCAATAAAAATTCCTGTGAAGTTACCTGCACACCGGCTGCTATTTCTGGTGCCAATGGGGTAACTGAAAGTGACTCTTCCACTGACAGTGTTGAAGTCACAGGATGATAGATAACTGCATGGCCCCTTTCATTTTCTTCCAAGGCCATATGCTGTGTTTGAGGCCTTGCTGCCTGGACATTACCAGCTTTTTCCGTTTCCAAAGGTGGTGTTGAAAGAGGCAATACCTGGACACTGCCAGCTTCCTCCACAGTCAAAGGTAAAGTCTGCTGAGATATTGTCTGGACACTCATCTCTTCTCCCTTGGCCAACGTAGATATCATAGGGATAGCAACTTCGGACATTTGTGATGTTTGAAGAGTCACTGCCTTTTCCCTGCCCTCTCTTTTTACAGTCATAATTGGTGTACTTAAAATGGCTACCTGGCCACTGCTCTCTTTAACTGTGACCATTTTTGGCGTACTGTCAGCCACTGCCTGGAGACACCTAGCTTCCTCCATAGCCTCTTCAAGTCGCTTGGGAATCATTGCTTGCTCCATAATTAAGGGCCGAGTCTGATGAACAGCAGAAGACAATACTGTAGTACTACTTGTTTGAGGTGCAAGTGGAATAACTGATTCTGATACTTCCGTCTGTAACTTTGAAGTTGTTACATGGAAGGGTACAGAACTGACATTGTCACATGGAACATCTACCTCTGAAGTTACTGCTTTTGAAATGAAGGGGTTTTCATATCTCATTGCTTGTGTACTTTTGGTTTCTTCGATGGCATCATGAGGCATTTGAGAAGTCACTGCTTGCACATTTCCAACTCTGTAGGATAACCTTGGCATCACTGAACATGACTCCTCCATATCTGACTCAGAACTTATTGTTCCTGTAGCAAATGATCTTTGCAGTCTGCTTTGATTCACTGTTGAGACATCACAAGTTCCTTCCATTGGCATTTGTTGGGTTTTACATGCAACTCCTGAAATACTGGTGGTGGCTCCTTTCATAACTACCTCGGGTTTCTGAATCACTGTCTGGACATTGGTGGTCAAGCTGGGTGGTAGTTGAGACACCAAATGCAATTCTTCTGTGTTTAATTGTGCCTGGCCTCTGTCACATTCTGATTTGGTTAAATTAATCACCTTTTGGTCTCTCTCTATTCCCTCAGGTGATAATGGACTTATAGTATCATAATCTGTGTCTAACTGCAAAGTCGCAGCCAAGTTTACAACTTGGTTACGTTTGATGACCATTTGTTGTAGGGGATGGATTTCATCACCACTGGATTCCTGTGGTGTAAAAGACATTGCTCCTTCAACACTATTTACCACTGTTGATATTCTTGGATGTACTGTCTGTAATTCTTCAGTAAACTCTTGTGGTAAAGTCAGCTGGTCTGTCTGAGATTCTAAAACTTGGTAACCAACTGCTGCATGTGGTGATTGATGAAGATCAGCTTGGGCACTGCTAGTGCCAATTATTTCTGATCTTAAGGCATATATTTTTTGTGTCTGAGGAGTTGCTGCTGGAATGATACTACTAGCTACCTCTACAGGCATCTGTGCAACATGAGTCAGTGCCTGAAATTCCTCTGCAGTCATTTGTGGCATTACTGCTTCAGTCCCTTCCTGCAGTATATGATGCAGTCTGTCTTCAGGTATAGGTGCTACTGCTGAATGCAATGTCAGGCTTCCTTTACCCACTTCAGGAACAAGGGCTTTGGGGTCCAAAGGCGTACTTGCTACAAAAGCTGAAGTCTGTGGTGCCACTGCCATCTCATAATCTGCCACAGAATTTTGAGGTGTTAAAGGTGTTATCAACGATGAATTTTGTGGTAGGAATGAGGTGGTTTCCTGATACACACCTTCATCCAAAACCTGGGACATTGGAAAAGCAACTTCTAATGAGTGATCACTTGTAGCAATCTGTGTTATTGATTTAGCATTAGGTTGTTGTGCTGAGCTTGGGAAACCTGCATCCACATAGCTCTCTTCTTCCAGCCGAGTAAGCAATACCTTTTCTATGTCTCTCTGATTATCATGTGTTTCCTCTAATGTTCCTTCCACTGCTTTGTGTTCTTGCAATAAAGCTACTGGAAATTCAGAACCAAGATTGGTATCAGCAATTGAACTTGCAGCCTCATATATACTAACTTCCATTACAGAATTTTGTGGTGTCAGAGGTGGCATTTCCTTAGAACTCAGTGATTTCACACTTTCCATTTCACATGACATGACCTTTCCTTCTGATAATTTAAGAGGCAGTACTTGCTTCATACATGGTTTAAGAGCTTCATCTTCCATGGCTATTGTACTTGCTTCTGATATGCTAACTTCTAAAACGGAGTTTTGCGGAGTTAAAGGCGTTAAGTCCTTTTGACTTTTTGACTTTCCTCCATCAGTATCAAGCAATACTACAGGTAGTTGCTCTGTGCTAAATTCTTGTACTGAACTGTTATTGGTACCTTGAGTTGCCAGTATTAAGGAGCTTGCTTCTGATACAGAAACTTCTGCTATTGTGTTCTGTGGTGTTATAAGAGGTAAATGCCTCAATCTGGATCTCACTTGAACATTTTCATCTATAACTGAAGCTGCTTCCCCTACACTAATATCTGCCATAGAGTTCTGTGGAGTTAGAGGAGGAATCCAATTAACATTTGTTTTCCTGTCTTCATTTCTTTCTGATGCCAAAGCACTTGCTTCTACTATGCTGATATCAATCATGGAATTTTGAGGTGTAAGTGGAGTCACTTGCCTGCAAGTTCTAGAATTTAAATTGACATTTTGGTGTGCCGAAGAACTTGCTTCTGATATACCAACCTCCATTAAGGAGTTTTGTGGTGTTAGAGCCTTTGTTGGGTTGAAAATGTTGACTACTTTTGCATCTTGTTCTGGTATAAGTGACCCTGATTCTGCAAAACTGGCTCCCAAAACAGAACTCTCTGCTGATAATGCCATTTTTGGTTTAAGAGTTCCTGAATTTAAGCTGACATTTGCTAGAGAACTTGCCTCAGATATGCTAACCTCCATTAAGGAGTTCTGGGGTGTTAAAGCCTTTGATTGACTGAAGATTTGTATTTCTTTTTCCTCTTTTTCTGGCACTAATGATGCTGCTTCAGCAAAACTATCTTCCAAAATGGAACTCTCTGCAGATAACAGTGCCCCATGTTTTGAGGTTCTAGAAGTTAAACTGACATTTTCCAGTACCATAGAACTTGCCTCTGATATACTAACTTCTATTAAGGAGTTCTGTGGTGTGAGAGCCTTTGCCTGATCGAAAGTTTTGACTTCTTCTGGCACCCATGGACCTGTTTCAACACAAGTGTTTTCCAAAATAGAACTCTGTGCACATAACAGAGTTGTTGGTTCAGAGGTTCTAGAATTTAAGCTGACATTTGCCAGAGAGCTTGCTTCTGATATACTAACCTCCAAAAAAGAGTTCTGTGGTGTTAGAGTTTTTGTTTGGTTGAAAATGTTTATTACTTCTGCCTCTTTTTCTGGTATTACTGACCCTGCTTCTGCAAAACTGTCTTCCAAAATGGAACTCTGTGCTGATAACAGAGTTGCTAGTGCAGGGGTTTTAGAATTTAAGCTCATATTTGCTAAAGAACTTGCCTGCGATATACTAACCTCCATTAAGGAGTTCTGTGGTGTTAATGCCTTGGATTGACTGAAAATTTTGATTTCTTTTTCCTCTTTTTCTGGCACTAATGATGCTGCCTCAGCAAAACTGTCTTCCATAACAGAACTCTTTGCAGATAACAGTATTGCTTGTTTTGAGGTTGTGGAATTTAATCTGACATTTTCAAGTGCCAAAGAACTTGCTTCTGATATACTAACTTCCACAAAAGAATTCTGTGGTGTTAGAGCGCTTGTTTGACAGAAGGTTTTTATTTCTTTCACTTCTTTTTCTGGTATCACTAAACCCTCCTCAGTAAAGTTAGCTTCCATAACAGAAAACTGTGCAGATAGCAGTGTCCTTTCCTCAGAACAATCTTTCTCCAACCCAGTTTTTTCAAATGCCTCTGAACTCATAGATATCCCTGGTATCATTTCCTTTATAGATTTACCATGATTATCGTCAAGTAATATCCTGTCTGCTGTAGCAACAGTATCTTCTGTGGTCTTCTCACCCACTGATAAAACTGGATGTTCAAGGGCAGATTTTGCATTCTCCAATAGTGTACTTGCTGCTTCTGTGATACTGATGTCCATCATAGAATTCTGTGGTGTCAGAGGACATACTTTAATGGATCTTGGCTTTATGCTCTCCTTTTCTAGTAACAATGAACTTGCCTCAGATATGCTTACTTCCACCGTTGAGTTCTGTGGTGTCAGTGGTGGTATTTCCCGAAAAGTTCTGGATTCACTAATATCAGATTCTCTAAACATTGAACCTGCCTTTGACCTGACTGTGGGCAAGGACTGTGTGTTTAAGTCGAGTGCATGTTCTTTACCTTCAAGCATCACAGAAGTTACTGCTTCTGTTATACTAACACTGACAACAGAATTTTGTTGCATGAGTGGTGGTATTTCGTTAAAATCTTTCATCATAGCAGTGTCAAATTCCAGTGCTTCAGAACTTGCTTCTGATGTCATTGTGGGAGAGGCTTCAGTGTTTTGACTTGGCATGTATTCATAATTTTTGAGCATCACTGATGTTGCTGCTTCTGATATACTAACATCAACCATAGAATGTTGTGGTGTTAGAGGTGAAACTTGCTTAGGCATAACTGATTTCAATCTGTCATCTTCTAACATTCTTGTGCTTGCTTGTAATGTATTAACTTCTGCAACATCGGCACATGCTAATGGTAACAACTCTTCAGATGTACATTCTGCATCTTGTACCACATAACTTGCTGCTTCTGATATGCTAACGTCTACCATGGAGTTCTGTGGTGTTAAAGGTGAAAGTTGCATTGTTCTTGACTTTAATCTTTCTTCTGCTAACAGTGAACTTGCCTCTGATATACTAACCTCCATCATTGAGTTCTGTGGTGTCAGGGGTGGTGCTTGTTTTATTTTCATTTCACAGAATTGCTCCGAGACCATTGGATCTGGTCCTGACAGAACTTCAGTAGATTCTGGAGTTGTCTGCAGATTTAAATACTGACAGCTGGCTTCAACATCCTTATCTTTAGTTGTCAAAATGCTTGCTGCTTCACCTGTCAAGGAATTTTGTGGAGCCAAAGTTGCTTCAAATGAACAGTCTGATCTTTCACTTTGGTTCCTAGTCATTAATGAGCTTGCTTCTGGTATGCTAACTTTTACCATGGAATTCTGTGGCATCTGCTTCAAGTAGCTTGATTCGATGCTTTCAATTCCCAAGGTTACTGGCTTTATCTCCTTTACATTAATTGGCATTTGATTTTCTAGTGAACTTATGGCTTCGTAAATACTTACATCCATCAAGGAATTTTGTGGGGTTAAAGGCATAACTAGTCTTTGGGCCTCTCCTGCTAAAGTTGTGTTTTTGTTTAACAGAGAACTTGCAGCTACTGTAATGTCACCTTCCAGTACAGAGCTCTGTGGTATGTCTGATATGCAATGAGGGTGTTGGACACCAGTATAAGTCACTTGAATTTGCTCTAAGCTATCAAATTCCATGTCAGAATCTTGTGAAGACTCAGCCTTCAAGCTAGAAGTCATAACAGGTACCAAATAGTCATCTGAGTGAGAAGAATGACTAACATCATCAATCTTCTGCCATGGAGATTCTACAGCTACAGCAGTCGAAAGTCTTGGCACTGAACAAGATACAGCCTCGGAACCAATATTCATTTCTTTGGAAGAATGGATTGTTTGGGTGATAGCATGTAAGTGCAATTCACTGTTTTTTGTAACTTGCTGAATCTCTGCATCTGGACTACCTGTTATTTCAAGATGTTCCTGATGCAAAGGCCCCAGTTTTGAATTTCCTCCAACCCGAATCTGCTCTTGACTTGTATACTTTGGTAATTTATTGCTTAAACCCAAGCTAGTATCTAGCAAAGTTCTACGACTTTCAAAGGCACTAGAAGTCCCAGTATGAAATTTACCCATTTTGTCCTGCATTTTTTTGTCTTCTACAGCGACATTAAAATTTACATTGGTAACATCTTCATGTCTTTCTAAGGCAGTAACTTCATTTTGTGAAGAGACTAGAGTGGTTTCCTTATTAACCACATGCCCTCTGATAGGTGATCCTGCTACCTCTGATAAATCTAAATAAGGCACAAATTCAGGTAGCATATCCTCTTCTTGATTCTGACTGTACTGAATAACAGGAGTGAAACTTTTAGTACACACCATTCCACTGTCTGAAGTGGTACATGTCTCCTGATTACTTTCATCTTGATAATTCTGGTCCATGTCTTTTGTGTCAGTTTCCCATGGATTATCTTCTTCATCAAGACAATCAGGAGTTATTGGAAGACTTGTAAGGAGTTCCAGAGACCCAGCTGCATTCCAAGGAAGTTCCTGGAAGCCTTCAGCTGGATATCCTTCGGCAGTGTGGGCTTTAGAGTCCCCTAGGATATCATCTGAGATGCAAGAGAGTGAATCCTGCGGATCCTCAACATTGCGGCGTACTGTGTCAAGCATAGTATCATCTGAAGAACTTAATAGGTCTTCACTGATCTCTGGGCTCACACAACCTGACAAATTGCAATCTTCAGTCTCACTCATTGTCTCTTGCCAGTCAGACGGAATAACATCTGGTTCAGATGGAACACTTTCTGAACGACTACTTTCGCTGCATTCAATGATTGTGTACAACAGTCTGCGTGCAGTGCGAGGTGTGAATTCTGCTGCTATGACTTGATACTGTTTCTCAGAAAGGTTGATATCCCCTTTACTCTGAGGATCAAGAATCTCAAGGTCCTCCCATGAGCCTTCAGTAGAAAAACCCTCACTAGCTGAGGATGCCAATGGTGTAGTTGCTGTGGTGCTGTAGTCAGTAGCATCAGCTACAAAAGCACAGGGAGAGACATCCCCCCCACTACTACTCTGCACTACATCAAGTAAGTTACCTTGCCCTTCCAAGGACTGTTTCTTTTCATCTTTATGCAGCATTTCCCTTGCTGGAGTAGTCGTGTTGCTAGTGTAAGAATGAGAGCCAGACACTCCATTCTTCTTGAAGGCACTCTGGAACTCACTTGAACTTTCTAACCAGCTGTCTTCTCCTTTGGCAGTGTCATAGTCTTCGTCCTGAGTGGCAACACTCTCACACCGAGAAACTGAGGCACTCCCTATCTCTGAGCCATCCTCAGGCATGCTGAGAGCATACTTTGCGAGACGTTTTGAAGAAGCCTTTAGTAGCTCTGCTACTGCATCTTGAGACGCTTCTGATAAGGGGCCTTCTTTACTTACTGTTCGTAGTAACTTCCTCGCAGATTCCTTCAGGAGAGCCTGAGTCTCGACATCCCTATCTGAAAAGGAGTCTGATTCACTGTTGCTTCCTGCCTGGAGGGGCACTGAGATAACTGGGTCCTGAAGGTGAGGGGAATAGTATTCAGGAGACAAGGATTCCACCACAGAAGAATCTTGATTGGATGGTTGTGAAGATTCGTTCTT